TAAACTGAGTCCAGCTGGCTAATTCTAAATACAAATTTTTCTCACCATAAAAAAAAAAAAAAAAAAAAGAAACAGGACTTGTCTTTCATACATAACACTCAATGCACTTACAGAAAACCCACTAAGGAAAGGTGTCCTGTTACTAATGAACACTGAGAACTGCACAGGAGGACGCTGGAACCACCAGAGATGCCAGTCTTTAAGTCAGCAGCACAGTTCCCTGTGGACGAGACCCCCAGAGCTGCCCTGTTTCTGTTACACGGTTCCTGCCACGTGCCACGGTGTCAGAACCAATTCCCGGCGGCCCCTCCAGTAGACTCTCAGAGGCTGGAAATTCACACCCAGGAGGAGACTGCCCATCTAGGAGCAGGTGGTGGATTCGAACCACATGCCTTTGGTTGGCACAGAAATCCTTTACCACTTTTACCAGACCGATAAACAAGCCCTTAACTCTGCTTGACAACAGGATACGGACGAAGAAAGAGACGGGGATGACACATAGATCTCCTGTCTACCCACTGCTGGTTCCTCTGTCACCATCAAACCGTGTCAGTCCATACTCAAGGTCGTCAGCCAAGTGACAAGACCAGCCTGAGCTGGAGTCGACTGGACAACAGGTTTCTGGCTCCCCAGGGAGCTCTGGTGCTGCAGTGGTCAAGGCACTCTGCCAATGGAAAGGTTACTAGTTCAAGTCCAGCAGCCAGGTCTTTCCCCTCTTGGGAAGAGGAAAGGCTTTCCTTCTGTAGAAGGGTGCACAGCCGCAGTCTGGCCAGCAAGCACCCACCAGCCACTTTGAGGAAGGAGAGGCAATCATCTTCTGGGAACACAGCCCTGGAAACCCCAGGGGACAGTTTACCGTGACCTACGGGGTCATCAGGAGAAGGAACGGATAACTGATGGCAGTGGGTTTGGTTCCATTTCGGGTTTCAGTTTGCAACACTCTTAAATAGGTATTTAACTTCACAGATAAGTCATAAACTCTGCTTTTATTTTAAGAGGTCTCCCAACATTCGTGCTTTGTAAGCAAAAGGTAACAACATTTGCTTTAAGGATCAGACAAGGCAGGTCCAGGGAGACGGGAAACAACGGCCGACAGATCTGCTGGGGAGGAAAAAAGCTCTCTGCACTGTGACAGTGAGGGCTCTCCCCGCTGCACCCCAGGACTCTCCACTGCTGAGGCCACAGTGCACCCTCCAGAAACAAGAGTGGACTTTCCAGAAATGCAGGCTCGTGACACAGGCGAGTGTGGGGGCAGGCGGCAGCCTTCCTGGTGCACTTGCAGTTTCATTCCTTGGTCCCTGCCCTTTGATTTTACAAAGTGGCTGAACGGGCATGGCTGTAGGGATGACCCAGCCCCTTAACCGACTTCTGGAGACATCCATCCAATGAGGGCCCCGAATGAGACGTTCAAAGCTGCCATTTCTTTTCCCCGACCTGAGTCTCCTCAAGCCTTCATGCTCCAAGACATCACGACCAGGACAGCAAATGAGGGTAGGGAGCAGCAGGGTCGCTCAGGAAGCAGCCCCCGGGGTGGACCGGAACCCCTGCATTTCTCTCCCTTGGGGTTTCGCTTCATTCCCGCAGCTTCCTCACAGGGGGTCTTAGACGGCCGCGATCTCACCAGCCTACCCTGAGCCCCTAGGCCAGCTTTTCCATGAGAGATTCTATCCAGCTGGCTCCGTTCATGAGCTTTGTGGTGGCGATGACATACTCCGTCCCTCCGTCCTCCAGCTGGGAGAGAAACCGCAGCGCAGCGATCTCCGCATACGTCACGCCCCCGAGGAAGAAGATGAGAGTCACGCGGTTTTCCCCAGGTTGTCCTGAAACACAGATATCCCAGAGTCACCACGCGTTTCAGACACCACGCCGGCATGAGGTGCTGAAACCCGGCGACGCCTGGCGAGTTCACACTCACCACGAGTGTGCACGCACTATTTGTTCAGGAACTTGAACCACCCCTCCCCGTGCTAAGTGCTTTGTATGTGTGTGCCTGTGACCTACACGGGCGTGTCTATGTGGAAATACAGTCCTGTGCACCTTGGCCTTTTCCTTCCCAGTTCTTAAAAAGCTTTACCATTCACAAAGAGGAAAGAAATGAAGGAGTGTCTTGGGGCCAACATCATTTCCATGGAAACTCAGGGATGCTGATTTCAATCTCACTGTTTTGTCTGAGGCCTGAAATCCCCGACTCAGCGGTTGCAAGCCGCAGCCCCCAGGGAGGAGCAGGGTGTCCAGGGCTCACAATGGCCGTAGACTGGCCGGCTGGGCACACAAGCCAGCGCTTCACAAAGGCTGGCCCGCGGCTCACACTCACGTTTCTTTTGCAGGCCTGTGGGCAGGGGCTGCCGCTCCTCGAAGTGGGGTCCCGGGAGGATGCGGAGAACCTCCTCGATGCTGCGCCAGCCGGGCCGTGAGAGCAGCTGCGCCAGGCGCACGCTCAGGGGCGCGTAGCCGCTGTACACGTAGGATATGTCCGTGGGGTTCTGTTCCACAGAGAGAGCGGGGTCCTGAGAGGGCCTTCAGGGACCCCCCCAGTGTCCTCCTCCCACCAGCCCCAGCCTCCAGGCTCAGGGGTGTCACTCAGAGCACCCCCCGGTTCTCAGGAGGGACAGTGCAATAAACAAGCTGACACACAGGTGCCCTGAGTCGGACCCCGGTGCCGCTGACCGCCCACACGTGTCCGGAGCAGAGCTGGGCCCCGCAGGGTTTTCAGGGACTGATTTCCTCAGGAACAGACCGGCAGGCCTTTCTTCCCAGGCTCCCCTGAATGGACCTGAACTGCTAACTCTGAGGTTAGCTGCGGGGACACGAACTGTTGACCACCAGGCCTATCAGCTGCTAGTGGGAGTATAAAGCCGTGGAGACGTCTCGAGAGGTAACCTGGCGTCCTCACCGTGAGCACCAATGTTTATCCCCCAGCACTCAGCCATCACACCCTGAGGCCTCTGTCCTGCGCACGCTGGACAGACAGCACAAAGCACACAACACAGTGTCACGTGGATAGCAATGGACTAGGAACGTCCTGGATTCCCTTCAGCAGGGACATCGCCAAGTAAGGGGACTCAACCCAACCCCGGCCGCCAGCTGGACTGTGACACGTGAGGAGCCTGGGGCGCAGAGGACGACACTCTGAGGGCCCCCAAGGCCGTGGTCCTCACGTGAGAGGTCTGGGGGCCGAGGAGGACAGCACTCAGGACCCCTGAGCCTATGGTCTTCACGTGAGGTCTGGGGGCAGAGGGGGACATTCTCAAGGCCCCCAAGGCCATGGTATCATGTGAGGAGCCTGGGGGGGGACAGAGAAAGGTACTCGCAGGGCCCCTGAGCCTGTGGTCCTCACGTGAGGTCTGGGGTCAGAGGGGGACATTCTCAGGGCCCCCAAGGCCGTGGTATCATGTGAGGGATCTGGGGGGTGCACAGGAGGGGGCTCACAGGGCCTCTGAGCCTGTGGTCCTCACAGCTTGCCACATCTTTATCTCGAGGATCAGGATTTGACCCAGCAACCTTTTGGTCAGCATTTCCACACTTACTCCAACACACCACCAGGGCGTCTCGAAACGGAGTCACCACGGAGGGCTCAGACACACCGTGTCCCATGGTGGGAATGGAGGGTGAAGTGCTGAGGGGAGCCCTGTGATGCACCCCATGTAGTGCAGAAAGCAGGGATTGCAAGCTACTTCCATAAACCAGAGGAGGAACTTAGGGCCCCGAGTGTCCCCTCCGCGTCCCTCACAGGGCCGTGGTACCCTAAGTAGGGGAGGACCTGATGGCAGCTGGCAACACCTTCCCTTTGGGGCACAACAGTCCTTTCTTGTCACTGAGAGAGGACCCTATGGGTCCTCTACTAACGTAGCTTCTGCTGCATAAACAGGTCTAATACAGTCCCCTACGAAATACTGAGACAAAATGTTTCAAGAGATTTATAAACAGGAAAGAAACGTGGTGCAAAGCGAGCCCTGAGGTGCAGACAAATGGTACAGACTATGCCCTGTGGGTGAAAAGGCAACCGCCGGGGCAGTGTCTGGCCTCGGATGTGGACTGTCTACACTGACTGACACAGCGGGGACACTGCACGGCAGTGAAGCGGGCTGTTCACTACGTGTGCCAGGAACCGACAGCTCCCGGCGCACAAAGCTACCTTTACTGGGTCCCAGTGAGCTTGTAACCACCGTAAGAGCATCTGAGACAGTGTGAGACTGCCAAGGGCACACGGGCACCAAGGGGCACGCGCTGCTGGGAAGAACTGCCCGCCACGGAGCTGCACAAAGCTGCAGTGCACACAAAATGTCTAATACAACGGAATAGCACGGCGGGCCTGCACGTGCAGCGAACGCCCTGCTGGGAGCAGAGAAGCTGGGCTAAGAGGTGGGAGGCCCGGTACCCGACTCTCGCCCCCATGTGGGTGCCCTGTGGGACCCCCGATCCTCCTCACTCTCCACCGCGCTCACTGCCCGGCGGTGGGGGAAAGCCACAGGCCCTGGCCCACCGTAGGACTGCATGGTGACGTCACCGCGCCGACGGAGGGCCTGAGGGAAGCAGGGGGCGGGCGGCACCGAGGGCTAGGTTTCTACTGCCCACCTTCCTGTCTGCGGTGGTCAGTTCCCGGGGAAGGACATCACGCTGGTACAAGGTCAGCGAAAGAGAGGGAGACTCGCTGACAGTGACTAGCGATGGACCTGGGCCCGGGTGATGGGGTCAGGATGGCGCAGGATAGGGCAGCACTGGCTCTCTACTGTCCAGAGGGTCACCAGGAGTGGGCATCAACTCCATGGCTCTGGATAAATGATCTGTGCTGTGAGTGGTGAACGGGCCGGGCCACCGATGCCCTGGCCTCAGGTCATCACGGCTGCTGAGCGATGCCAGGCTGATCCTGACACAGGAGGCCCTCAGCTGGCCCACTGGCCATGCCAGGCTGGCGTCTTAATGGAAGAGGGCTGCCACGTCTTTCTCCTGTGCAAACAGCTGGTGGGTTTGAACCTCCGATCTTGTGTTAGGGTGCCTGACCACGGAGCCGCCAGGGCTCCTATACAGCATCGTGATGAACTGTGGCTAGCCAGGCACCCAAACTGAGTGCTGAGTGCGGCGAGGCCCGTCTCACCTGCTCGTTGGCGCCTCACCCGCTCACTGGCCCCTCACCTGCTCGTGGGCCCCTCACCTGCTCGTTGACATCTCACCTGCTCATTGGCCCCTCACCTGCTCGTTGACATCTCACCCGCTCATTGGCCCATTGGCCCCTCACCTGCTCGTTGACATCTCACCTGCTCATTGGCCCCTCACCTGCTCGTTGACATCTCACCTGCTCGTTGGCCCCTCACCTGCTCGTTGACATCTCACCTGCCCGTGGGCCCCTCACCTGCCCGTTGGCCCCTCACCTGCTC